CCCCCCCCAGGAGGCCAACATGTGGCCCAAACCTTGGTAACATTAATGATTTTGGTATTCTCGCCGAGGCCTCTTGGAGCGTCTTGGGTGCCTCTGGGGGGCCTCTTGGGGAATCTTGGGGGTCTCCTGGCCACCTTTCGGGGCCCTCTTGGGGCACCCTTGGGATCATTGGGAGCGCTCTTGGGGCCATCTCGGAGGAGATTGATCAAATAAGGGAGGTTCCTTGCCTCGCCCCCCTAGGAGGCCAAACTGGGGCCCAAACCTTACTAAAACAAATGATGTTGGCTTCCTCGCCGAGGCCGTTTTTGGACCGTCCAACTACCCGCGGACCCCCCCGTCAAGGTCCAGGGGGCGGGGTAGGGGGAGGGGTCAAGACTCCCTCCCCGCCCGCAAGCCGTCTCGCTCACTCCCACCCGCCCTCCCAACACTTACGCAGCACCCGAGCCTGGCCCGAGCCGCAGCATATTCAGCAGTCGTCTTTGGATGGGCAGCTACTGGGGGCGGATCCGCCGCCGCCGCCGCCGCCCCCGCTGCCGAATCGCCGCCGCCGCAGCCGCTGCCGCCGCAGCCGTTGTCGCCACCGCAGCCGCCGCCGCCACCGCCGCCGCCGCCGCCGCAGCTGCCGCCGCCCCCGCCGCCGCCGCCGCCACCGCCGCCACCACCGCCGCAGCCGCCGCAGCCGCTGCCCCCGCCGCAGCCGCCGCAGCCGCCGCCGCCGCCAAATGTATTCTGTATTTTTTTACAGGGATGGTAGGGGGAGGCCGTATCGGGTTCGTTGCGCGTGCTCCGAATTTGGAGGCAGAGTGTGTTTTGCATTGCTTTTTACGAGGGATGGTGGGGGGCCTTCATTGGCCCGGGTTGGCTCCCAGTCGCCTGGGGGAGGGGGTGTATATTAATAGGGAACAGTGATGAACCCCTCCCCGAAGGGGAAGAGGGAGGGGTGGAAAGGGACATTCCCTAAACCACCTTACGCCCTAAAGGCCTGGTGAGATTGGCGAAGGCTTGCTGCCTCGGGGACGCGACACTTGAGTAATTTGCGAGGGTTTGTGTCCTCGGGCCCGCCAACAGATTGCGAACAAATTATGGCGTCGGGGTCGCGAACCTCGCGTATTTCTACGTGGGGCTCCCCCCCCCCCCTCGCGCGGATTCCAACCGTTTTATAGTAGGAAGCATACCGCAGGACTGTAAACTATTGGAGACTTGAAACCTCAACTGATGGAGGGAACAACACACTTCGGCCTACAGCCGCGTGGCCCCACAAGGGGATCGGCGGATTAAAGCAACGCGCTTCTGACATGTGCACACTGGCCTGACATAGGGTGGCCACAGACATGTACGCGCGCTGGGGTGCCGAACTGCATCGGAGCCACCCCCTGGTGACCGCTTCGTCATCTTCGGATGCCATGATATTGCCAGAGCCCCGCGCCAAGCTTGCTGCGCGCTTGAACTCATCCTTCTCCACGTCGATGACCGCCACCGCCTGCTCGGCAGCAGGCTCTCGAGCAGCCGCGCCCGCCTGAGCCATGGCCTCTGGCGACGGCGGTCGTGGCTGACGAACCCCGTTCTGTTGCTGCAGGCACATCGCCTGCTCCGGCCGTGGGGGCATCTTCTTCCTGTCCTGCGATCTGCCTGCGCTCGCTGGCCATGCGCTGCTTGAAGGCCTGCTGCTCGGTGGCCAGTTCTTGGGCCCGATCGCGGACCATTCCGAAGGCTTGCTTGACGGCCTCCTTGATCGAATACTCAAAGTCCGCCATCCTCTTGGCCACCTCCTCTTTTTCCGCCTGCGACAGCTCTACACCAGTCGACTCCAGGCCGAAAAGATCGGTGTCAAGAAACTCGGAGGAGCCCCCCGACAGCAACTGCTCGATGTCCAACCCGTGCTTGGGGTTGGCTTCCTGCCCAACCGGAGGAGGGGCTTCAGCAGCCAAAGTACGAATAGCCTTATGACATTTCTTCTCGCAAGTCTCATATGCATGGCATCCACCGCGTCCTGCTTAGCCTGCTCGAGATTTTGCGCCAGATCGTTCGCCGAGCGCCCCTTGCTCTCGAGCTGCTGCTTGGCCTGGTGCATGGCGTGCTTGGCCGCACCCACGCTAGGCGTGGTGGGCTTGGCGGCCTCCTGCTGACTCTTGACGGCCATCTTGTAGGTGTTGCTTGTCTGGTGATCGCCGAGCTCCTCAAGACTGTTGGCCAGCCGCCGCAGCTTCGGCAAGTCCTCCAACGTGTACTGCTTGCCTCCGCTCTTTGCTGAGCATGTGCCAGTCCAGCCCGATGCTGCAAGCTGGAGACCGACTGGGGCAGACTGAGCCGTGCGCCCATCCTGTCTCTCTTGTCGCCGTCACCTGGCTTGCCTCCCTTGCCCTTGCCCTTGTCCACGATGACCAGCGCCAAGGCACCAGCCCACGCGCCAGAAGGCCCCTGCGGAACACTGGGGGCGACATTGGCGAGAGGCTGGTGGCAGTGCTTGCAGCTTGTTCTTCTTGCAATCGCATGTTGGGCA